GAGTCTTCTCCCTTAGGGAGGGGACTGTATGAACAGTGCAACCCCCATGGGAGATAGTCTTTAGATGAGTTGGCTACCACTGGAGCTTTAGTCTCCTCGGAAACTTTGTGGATCTTGCGCATAGCCTTGGGGCTAAGGGATCCGGAGGAGATGGCCTCCTCATACTTGGCTTGATTAAACTCGATAATCAGAGTTTCAACGGTCATTCCAGTGAGATGAACGTCGGATTGCACCACCACTTCTTCGTCAGAGAAGCTTGTCCCCAGCAGAGTCGCCATCTTTTGTTTGTTGGAAATTTGCAGTAAAAAGACAATGAAAGAAAAATTGACTTGTATTCCCTCAAAATCAATTACAATTTGGATTCCGATTACAAAAGAGAGGAGAATAAATTTGATTCTCCTCTTTGTTTAATTCTGGGTTCTTCACGGTGGCGATGAGATGCTTCCCTCGAATGCTCGCGTCGAGTTTGCTTCTCGTTGACGATCCGAACGTCTTGATTCACTGGAACGATGTCATCTCCTCACGATTTGACGTTGTGGAAAACTTGCGTGGCAAGTTTTGAAATAACTCTTGACGAGTTGATAACTCTGAACGAGTTTTAGAAGAACTTGCAGAGCAAGTTTTGAACTCTGATCGAGTTGATAACTCTGAACGAGTTTTAGAAGAACTTGCAGAGCAAGTTTTGAACTCTGATCGAGTTGATAACTCTGAACGAGTTTGAACTCTTGAAAAAGAGTTGATTTGAACCGAAAGTTCGGTTAATAAGCCAAGGAAGAAGCTCCTGTTGCTGGTCTCCAAAACTCCTTGTTGCTGCAGAACGCGGCAAGATGCTCGATCAAGGATCCCCAAAAAGTCAGCTCCCCCCTCCAAAAAAAAAGAGGATCCGAACTCAGTTGAGTTTTGAGGTATTTATAGGGGGTTAAGGGTATAACCGCCCCCTTAAATATCTCCTTAATGAGGGTTTAATGGGGTCTAACTGCTCCCCATAAATCTCTCCATGATAGGGTAGTGATCCCCTAAAATCTTGGGGAGAAGAAACTCTAACCTAGCTCCACGACTCGACACAGAATGATCCTAAGGATACTGGAACTAGAGCTCTGATACCAACTGTGATGCCCCTGGGTTCACACAAGGCTGCAGTCCAAGGTGAAACCAGAAATGTCAAACCTGCCATGCACCACAGCGTGCAATAACATGTTTCACCATCACATTTACTATCTCTCTTGTGGAATCAACAACAGGTGTAGTACAAAGCAAGTAAAAGATTATACAAGAATCAACTGATGAAATAATAGAGATCAAATTAATATTTATCTAATATACTGGAATACAAGTAAATGTCTGAAATAAATGAACTGGAGTCCTCAACAAGTCTCAAATACAAAATGTTCTAATATGAAGAGACCGTCAATTTGTAGTCTCTTTTGCTAGAGCGTTGCAAAGATCGTCACCTTGTAACCTTCGTCTTGGCTCCTTGAAAATATGAGAGTCGTCAGGTTGTAACTCCCGATGTTGATTGTGAATGCTGTTGAATTAGAGCTTTCATCAGTTGTCGTGAAGGTCGTCAGATTGTAGCCTTCTACGTGAAAGTCCTCAAATTGTAGCCTTCTGGAAGTCGTCAGATTGTAACTTCCATCATCGGTGTTTGATGAGGGATTAACTATCTATTGTGATTTTTAGACAGCCTACAATACCCTATTGATCTCAGTTCTCATAACAACTAATAGAGTGTTTTAAAACAAGTTTAAAGAGTTTTAAACAAGGGTTTAAGTTTATTTAAGAAGCTTTTAAGCATTTGGAAGTTTGGTTTTGTGAAATCAATTTCACAAGAGCTTGAGGAGATCATCTAGTGGTGTTTAGGCATCCAACTATTCTTCCTCTACCTCTTGATCTATTAAGAAGTTCTCTAAACTCCATTTCTAGCTTTATATCTATTTGTTTGATTATCATTTTATTAAAGCTAGTTTTATATTGAGTTTAGTTGATTTGATTTCACTCATTGTTTACACACACCCACTTGAGCTTATTGTATTTACATACATTGTATATTTGGGTTGGTGAGAGTTGTAACAATTGAGTGTGAGCTTTCATTGTGTTCTCATCCATATTAGAGAACAATCATTTGTTGTATTTGTGCTTATTGTGAGATTCACTTTGTAATACACTTGTACACCGAGAGAAGTATGTGGCGAGAGTCGCGGATCATCCTAAGAGGAGTGGCGTCGGTTCACGAACCTAGGGAGAGGTTGTATCCGAGCACTTGAGGGAGACACGTCTAGTTCCAACACTTGAGAGGGTGTAGAGTGGGATTATAAGAGTGGTGATTGTAAAGTTTTCGGTTAGCTAGAAAACCGAGTGTGAGGTGTAAACGTTGTTCGGGTAAGCGTAAAAAACCCGGTTGTGATAGTGAATTTCTCCCCAGGAGTGGGGAGCGGAGACATAGGACAGAAGGTCTGAACTCCGTGATCATATTGTGTTTGCATTGTTTATTTACACTATCACTCTTATCTTGTTTATGTTTATTTCATCATTGTGTTAGTTTATATATCCTTGCATATATTACCTCTTTTCTAAGATATATCTCTTTATTCATAATCACCCCTCCCCCCTCTAGGGTCTAACACAAAGGTGCTCGCACGACCACTCGTATCAGGTCGACCGTCGTGGTCGACCGCCTTCAGCTCCAACCTCTTCTCAGCTCTGTGCACGTTCACGGTCGACCGTCGCGGTCGACCGTGCAGGTCTTCTCCTGTTTTTCTTAATTTTTCTCCCTCGTTTTGATTCCATCTTCGGCTTCAACTTTGGGTCTACACTTTAGACTAACATATTGTTCGGTAGAAATTCAAAATAGGAATGATCTGATTAATTGTAATTCAAAACCTCAAAAAGTTACTGTTTAGTGAATATTGTTCTTGCTACAGTATGATTCGGAATATTAAAAATTACTATTTGTCCTAGGTAAAATTTTCAACTTGCCATACCATCGTTTTGTAATGATTTTTTCCCTCAATAAGCACAGTTCATGTATAGTGTAATTTTTTAATTTTAAATATGCTCTATATGCTACAGTGAAATTTTTAACTATTTATCAGCTATTCAAGCTAAAGTAATATTTTTTGTTATGTGCCATGCGAAAGCGTGCTCGATAACCAAATGAATCAGCGAGCGATGAGAGAAGAGAACCAAAACTAAACACGAGTGCAATTCACAAAATAACGATCAAAATCACACACAAACACAGAAATTTAAGTGGTTCGGCAATTGTCTACATCTACGGAGTTGTTCGGCAATTGTCTACGTCCACGGGAAGAGGATGGGGAGATTTTACTATATGGAGGAGAAATATAATGGGTTACAACTCACAAAATCACTTGAATATAACCCTAACCAAAGCTCTCAACTCCCTCACAATATCTCCCTCTCAAAGAGCTCAAAACAATGATAATTCTCTCCTTAAGGAACCCTAAAAACGTGGTTCTATTTATAACAAAACACAATCACAAACAGATTGAGATTCTAAAAATGAGTCTGCCACACCCTGGTGTGGCACACACCACACCCCTGAAAAACAGGGCAGACTCTGCCACACCAGGGTGTGGTGGAGCCTATCTTGCCACACCGGGGTGTGGCAGACACCACCAGCGTGTGGTGGAGCTTGTCTTTCTTATTCTTCACGTTTTTCTCAATTCCTTCGCCGTTTTCACATTTTTAACCTTGAAAACAGTGCTCATATCTTTTTTTTTCTTTTTGTAAATGATGAATTTAACCTTTATCCAACATTTCATAGGTATAAATATTTTCTGCCTCTATTATAGAAAATTGATAAAACTTGCTAATTGGTGTACTATTTCGTTAATTGGTTCAAAAATTCACTCCGTAAATAATAGTAAAAAAATATCGCTAAAGTTTGTATAAATATAATTTATATATAAAAACCATATTAATAATTTGTTGACATATATACCTCGATAAATAATACCCGCGGAAATGCGCGGGCTTAGTACAAGTCTAAAGTGGGAGGGAAACTCATTTCCAAGGTTTCCATCCCTTAGGGGCTGTTTGGTTGGCATTTTTTGCCATTGTTTCCCTGTCAAAACTGACAAAAGCTATCAGTTTTGACAGCTTTACTTGTAAAAACGCTTCAAAATGGACGTTTTTACAAGTAAAGCTGTCAAAACTGACAGCTTTTGTCAGTTTTGACAGGGAAACCCAAACAAAAAAAGCCAACCAAACAGCCCCTAACCAAACAGCCCCTTCGAATACCGTGCTAGGGTATAGGTTGATAATTAATGTAAGTAGATATCGAACTTATATTTCAAACTGATCCAAATAGGAAGTGGTCCGAGTCCAAATATAACGACCTGTTGGATCTTTATGTCGACGTGATTAGCGTCTTAGAGCAGTTACCGGTAATTGTCACACTACGCAATCAAAAGTGATAATAGAGCCGATCAATCACGGATTTACACCTGGCGCTGTACAGTTAATTAGCTCTGTAATATATCATTATGTAAAGCTATCTTTTTTTTAATTAGAACTCCAGATTTATTGGAATGAGATTGTCATGTTCTAAGATTTACATAAGACACTCCACATTCGATTAAAATTTACCATTTTATATATTAATAACTTGAACGCGGAAGAGTTTGGGCAAGCAATTGCGTTAACCTTCGCAGAAGGCCGGTTCCCCAACAAAGACTCTTGTTTCACATGGATCTAGTACGCAGATAGCATCATGCTCTCAGAAACCCGATAAGTCGATTGATCGACTGATGTCATTTTAATCTCAATCGTTCCTCCAATCACTACTGTTAGATTGTTGGGATTCACGGCCACCCAAAAAGTGAATGGATTAGAACATTATGCTCGCATTTCGGAGGATGTCATGAGAGGATCGATACCCAGTTCTGAACGTTTTATACACGCGTTGTTTACTAGCAACTATTGGCACGACGGTGGTTTACTACTTCCGAGTGGGACCTAATTCGTCTCTTGCTTTGAATTATACCATTTTGTTTCCACGTCTTTTAAAAGGAAAAACTCGAGGAGTTGTGAATGGAGTTTACATAACAACTCAATTCCTCAGAAGAAAACTGAAACATGATTGCCTAGCTAGCTAGTTTGACGACACAATGTGAAGGCAGGCTAGCCGATGAGCGCATAGTTCTGCGACGATCTATATAGAAGTTGTTGCATCTCGTCAACAGGATGGCAAAACAGTACTCTTAACTACTAAACAATGAAACTACGTTACAAGATTCACCCCATATTTCTCTCGGCATTTCCCTCTTGTAAGATATATATGATTCGAATGCTTCGTCGTCAAACTTCTTCGATCGACATCTCATGTTTACTACTCAGGGAAAGGGATATCTGCAAGATCCTCTCTAAAGGGAACAACCTCAGGTCCTTTGTGCGTCCCCTTCTCGAGCTCAGTGGGCTGATCAGAAGCGTTAACAAAGGTCACCATAGAGTCCTTTCTGAAGGTCAAGTAGAGGACTGAGAGGATGTAGATGGCCATGAGAGGGAAGACGATGACACCGACACCAACGTTTGCAACCTTTGGTAGGCTATTGTGGATGATCCAATCCACGAACCCTGTGCTTAGGTAGTAGATGTTGATTCCTATTATTAATGCTCCGAGGATCCAAGAAATTATAATTATCTACAGTGAGAAGGTATAGCTATATCATCAATATCATATAAATGTCGGTGGAGCTAGACACACACACATGACACACCCCACACACAACAAAAACAAAAAGAAACAAGAGATAAAATTTGAGATAACCCCCAACCTTTAGAAATGCCAGTTAACCCCTCTTAAAATTTGTCCGATAACCCTAATTAATTATTCAATTTTTAAAATAATTACAGCATTAATTTGAAAAGGGTAATTTGGTCTTTTAATAGTGTATCTTACACTTTTTTTTTATATATATAATATAATTTTTTGGGGGGGGGGGGGTGTTGTTGAGAAATTATAACGTTTTGAGGAAGATTATATTACATGGAACATCAAAAAATTTGGTTGAGTGACTTTATCAAATTTTTGGAGTTGAATTTGGATCCTCTCCACTACAAAAAAATAGTGGAGAGACTATTATTTTTAATCTCAATCGTTGATTACTTAGTAGGCGGCTATGATATAATCTAAATCTAACACTCACAATAGCTCTGTGTATTGCACTCATTCCTAATTTGCACTCAAAGAAAAAATCATAACCATCAACTAGATAATTAATGGTTGTGATTATGTAGTGGTCCCTCCACTACTTTTTAGATAGTGGAGAGGATCCGAACCCATCTACTAGATTGGGCTGGTAATCCAAAAAAAATCATTTGCATGTAGTGTGGAAGCCCCTCCTGACAGACGCAGAATTTATCCGAACCACTATAAAATCCTCGTGTATGTGATTTCATTGCTCATGGTTGCTTTAGTTTATTTTTATTTTCACTGCAGTAACAGTGATATTTGTATTCAATCTTTAAAAAAAAAAGTTGAGCAATCCTATTCAACGCCAGCTCTAGGCTTGCGTCTAGATGACAACACCAGTTATACTCTGCTTGCGCTTTCTGATGATGGAGACATTTTGTATTGTAGAGGTTCGGAAATGCAGTTTTCATGTTCGCACTGTAATAGCAACGGGACAAGGAGGAACTTACATAGATTGAGTTCTTATGCGGCCCCATTTTTGTTCTGCTGCTACTGAATTTAAGCAAGGGGATAAGGGCAAATGGTAGCTCAAAAGAGAGTATCATCTGTGCAATTTAAAGAGAAAATTTAGAAGCGAGAGGATTGAGGAATAAAACTCATGAGAAATTTTTCTTGAGGATAATTAGGATCAACTTGGGTCTAAACCTGAACTCCAGCTAAAAAAAAATGTACACAATTTCACAATGGAAACCATGTTCAAACATTATTTTGCAGTTAAGCATGAAATGGGCTATGAAGATTACGTACTGATGCAATTATGATGAGACGTCCAGCACCAGAAGAGCCGCCGATAATAGAAACAACGAGGCTGGGCACAATCGCAATGCACCGAGTCATAAGGTTCCTCAGCCACTTTCTCATTTTGATGTCCAGAAAACCCTGAAAGTTTTTACTGAACTTGATTGATAACTTTTTGGCCTCAATTAACATAAACGTGTACTTTTAGCCTCAATTAACAGGGAAAAAACTATAATTGATTTATAACTTTTTGGCAAAAGTTTCCTTAGACTTGGATATGTAGTTACCTGCATGATGTATTGTCCAGCATATGTTCCAGTTATTGTGGAGCTTTGGCCTGAAGCTAGTAATGCAATAGCATATATCGTTGAACTCGACTTACCCAAGACACCCTATGAAGACAAAAGGAAAATAAATAAATAAATAAAAGATAATATGATTTAATGTAAATCGCCAAATTGAGGAATATGGAAATCGAGAGCTGAAAATTTATCCCTCTTTTATTTACTTATTTTTCTTTGTTGAACAAAAAGATTGGTACGTTCAAGAGAGGTATTTATCTCCAATTCTATTTATTTCTCTTCTGGATAAGAGAAACAATATCCCCTCTTCTCCCCCTTTTTGTTCCCTCTAGTGTTCTTCACAAGTTGAGAGCTGCATTTAGAAAATAATAACTTTTACGTCATCTTCTTGAACTTGCACATCACAAGTCAGCCACTTTTGTTCTATACGTAAATGTTTTCCTCCTCAAATTTTGATTCCTCCCCTCTATTAGATTGAAAGTTGTTAATATTCTCATGATGCTGACAGGTAGTGTGTCTCATTATTCGTAATTCTTTTTTATAAACAACATTTGTCCTATCATTTGTCATTGATGCATAAGCTTTTTTTTATTAGGATCATTTATTTGAAGCGTAGATTTCGACCTTTAGTAAGAAAGACGCTGAATTGAGTGTCAGATCGCTGCACTGTTCTATGTTCTCCGGAGACAAACTCGATGAATGGCAAACAGTTCCAGAGACGGATACAACAGCGATGTTGATGAGCAAAGCAACAAACAACGCAAACCCACTCTCCAAAAGAAAGTACCTACGAGCACTCTGATGAAAGAATAACACAGCATCGTAAAACTTTCAGATGTTATATTCCATAAGCAATAAGGATCAGTTTCTTGTTCAATCTCTTTATGTAGATTATGTTGCCTAAAAATGTATGCCAGGTATATTAGATACAAGAAACATAAGTTTCTATAACCTAGAATGCGTATCGTTGTTCATAACCATTACGTACATTGATTCCTTTCACGGACCGTGGAGTCTTCCTCGAGAGCACTAGTGCTGAATGCAAGAAAAGATTGTGCCTGTCAACAAAAGTCCAATGCAAACGTTTACCTTACTATATAACAAACATGAATAATAGCATTTTTATTGACCAAGATCATTGAGAAAATCAATGACTTACGGCATAACTAGTGCTCCGACAAGAGCGATTGCATCTGCAGTGGCACCGTCCCCTTTGAGTTTGGGCACAAATAATCCTTTAACAACCTCGACAACAGGGGGTTTTACATAGCTTAGCTCTCCAAAGTAGCAGGCAGCCATTAAAAATACTAGAAGAGATACCAAAAGCTCTAGTTTCCGAACCTTCATAGATAATCGTATAAAAAACATGATGTTATAATTGAGCTTAACAACTCAATTTCAATCATATGGACAAAATAATGTATGACTAACAAGCATTTTTCGAAATATAGTTTCATGCTAAATTGACCGAGAGAAGCAAGTAAATAAACATACATGAGATCATTCAGTTGCTTGATGAAGATCAATCTGGACTAGCCAAATAAGTAATTTGATCGATTTTTTGTCAAATTTGTCTAGTTTGTAGGATGAAGAATGAAATTAATTAAGAATGTAAGTGGATTCAATTTGGATGTTGTTTTGGGTGCTACAACTTATAGCCTGCAGGTGAGCAGGAAAAAAGATTTTAAACCCCACAAATATAGGACGCTATTAGTAGTGAAATTTAATAGAAGAATTGTTCAAAAAGGAACTTAACCTCTCCAATTTTTTCTAATATGAGAAAAATTAAGCTTTGTAGAATAATGAAACCCAGAAGGAAAAAAAATTCAACCACCAACCTAGAATTAATATAAGGAAAAGCTGTAATTCCTTAAGAAGAAAAAAATAGAAAATTGCCATTGAAAGTTAGCATAATATATGAATAACTCAATATGGAGGCTGAGTGTCTTCTATATAGAAAAAGAAGTTGTACTCACGCCATCCTAATACGTAAAAAGATCTAGAACATACGAGGTATAATCTTATATCAAATCAAATAGTTTTATGTACACAACTTAATTTTCTTCATCTACATAATTTTTTAAAAATTGGCAGAACATGAAAGTAGTTTTTAGAAGAAATAGCTTTTTTGGGGGGTATTCAATAGCTAAAACAAAATATAAAACAGGATTCAAACAGTCGATAAGTAAATTTTTATGCAACTGAATAGAACACAGGATTGATGCAATCATGCGAGCAATTAACAAATTAATTAAGGTGGATATTCCATAATATCCTTCTTGGACATGGGAGAAAAATCTTAAACCCATGACATGCCATATCACAAATTTCTTCACCAGTTAATAAAGATAGTAGTCACACACTTGTAATTAGTTAAGCATTATCATTGCAAAATAGAGGTAAAAAGAATTCAGGAATTATGCATGTCGATGAATTACCCCATATCTTTGTAACCCTAAAAGAAGAAGTGTGCTCAATCCAGTGATGAGTACCCCTGTCCATACCGGAATATGAAATAATATGTTTAGTGCAAAAGCCGTCCCTATCACTGAAATTGCAAAACATCATACATTATTTTCAAATTATTTACGTGTCAATGAACTAAAAATTAGTAGACAAAAGAGAGAGAGAGAGAGAGAATCTAGCTTAACCTTCAGGGATATCTGCAGCAATGACCGCAAGCTCAGCAAGTATCCACAAGCAAAATTTTATGAATTTTGGGTACTCAATCTTGCACAATTCAGCCAGATGCTTCCCTGAATTAATGAAATTAAAACTATCAATCAACTTTGCATGTAACAGTTAGTTTGATTACCAGATAATTTGATACTTCAGTTTTGACAATTACCCGTAGTCACCCCAAGATTTGCTGCCAGGGACTGAATTATCAGGGCAAAAATTAGCCCAACCAATATAACCCATAAAAGCTGTAATTAAAAAAAATTAGGAACTAATTACAGTCACATTTCATAAGTTGTAATGCAACTGATTACCTCAAATTTGTGATTAGATCCTGCTTGCAAATCAGTTTCCACTGTTTCATAATCCCAATAAAAACAATTAGACTGAATGCTTTTGTTATGAAATGAAAATAAAATGGAAAAAAGAAAAGAAATCAAGAGTTAACAGAGGAGAGAGTTTACAATTTCCAGGGTCAAGATAAGCTAACGATACAAGAAACCCTGGTCCAATATGGGCCAAAAACTTCCTCCAACTTGGTTCCTGAGATCATATTCATAAACCAAGTACGAGACAATGAAACGCTTCATGTATTAAAAACTGGCTATCCTTAGACCAGTGCACACAGAACAGAACAAGAGAACCTAAGAAAGACAGCCGGATAATTTAGAGATAGAGGGAGAGAGAGAGAGAGACCTTGTCCTTGTGATCATCAAGGCTTTCCTTAATGTCTTGATTCTTAACACCCTCATCAACTGAACACATCTCCATAGTGTTAATAGATTACTAACACAAATGAATATTGTGCCCTCTGAGTCACCTTTGTGTTTCTCCCTTTTATTTATGGAGGTTATTGGCAGGCTATAGATTATAACAAAGAAACAAGAATTGAATCTTCTGCGTCACAGAGAGAGAGAGAGAGAGAGAGAGAGAGAGAGAGGGTCAACAGGCTTAGCATAATAAGCACAATGCATGCAGCCAAGATGAGACTCCTCTGTTTTGCTGCAACGCCAAGAGTACGCAAACGTCTTTGTGCATCCACTGCTTACTCTCCACCCGCTTTAGATTAGTTGAAGGAGAGGGGCTTGGATCTGCTGGACCTCGCAGCATGCAGTTCCACTTGTGTACTAACCCAAAACCCAAATATAAAAATGGTCGAAATAACTAATAGGGTCATGGTGTGAGGGATCGACCTCGGGATCTTCGTCGTCGAGTGTAGGAGTTCTCTGTTCTCCTAACTAAGTTTTTCCTATTGTCAAGAAAGAAACTAATAGAAGAAATAATTTGAAGCAACTAATAAGATTTGAGGGGGCTACGTAGCAATTTCGATGATTTGAGGGGCTATTTTCAAAACATTAATCCCTTAAACCTTTAATATTTAACTCATAGAAATTGCTATTTATCCCCTCAAATCTTATCAGTTATTTAAGTTATACTAGTTATTCCGTCTGAATTGCTAATTGATGATGAGTTGTTATCTGGCTCATTGGAAAAATATATATTATATATATGTTTATTTTTCTACGTTTCAATTTGCTGAATGGTGCCCTGTATGGTCCACCAAATCTGGACTCGTATGAAAAATTACTGAAGGATGCATACAAATAATTTAGATGAGTTCAAGCATGGCCTAGCTTGTATGGATCAGTAATGTTAATATGTCATGCAATAGTGGACAAACAGAATAAGCTTTTTTTTTTTTTAGTTGTCTGTTAAAGATATAGCTAATTCTTGAATTTATAACTTTTAAACAATAAGATATGTTAATTTTGTTTGCGTGTGGCAAGTTCAATTTGCACTATTTTTCCTGGATACCACCTAAAATTTAGGATGATTATACAGAACCCATCTTTGAATATCAATTTATACCTAGACCACCTTTAAAGTTGGTTTATGTTGCAATTAATTATCTCCCAATCAAAAAAAAAAATTTATTTATTGAAAACTCAAAAAAATATCCTTAAACATTCAAATTCAAGGCACATGGCTCATTTTGTTGATGTTTAAATTAATTAGAATGTGTGATCGTAGGAACGAGGAGGGGGGCCCACGCTCGTGGCCTCGTGATGGCGCCGCTCCCCTTCCGTTGTCGTGCGCGCGCAAGCAAGCAGCCCACGTCGCTGTCATGGACAGCCCCAGCTCACGCCCGCTCCCGCTTCGAGCCCAGCGCCCGCGTGTTTCGTCCGTGCTTGCCCACGCGCGCCGCTTCCCGCGATTTTTTTACCCGCGCGCGCTTTCTTCGTTTCCCGCCTTGTGTGCCCGCCAATTACCTGAGTTCCCTCCCCCTTCATTTTCTATAAATAGAGTTGGTTGTGAGTTGAGTTGGTGTGAGAAAAATCTCAAGTTGAGTATTTTTGAGAGAAAAGAAAGAGAGGAAGAGAGAACTTGTATAAGTTTGGTATTTTTTCTCCATAGTGAAATCCCCTCCCGTGGACGTAGGCTAGTTTGCCGAACCACGTAAAAATCTCGTGTTTGTATTTGTCTTATCTGTGAGTTGCCATAGCTTGTAGGTTCCCTCGAGATTTCAGTCCTTGAACTGATGAGAGGAAGAGTGTATATTTCACTTTGATGAAATATATCACTTTCGATTCTTGTTTCCTTTGAGAAATAAGAATTTCACTATCTATTCTAGTTTCCTTTGAGAAACAAGAATATAGAGGTTGACTTGTGCTTTTGTGACAACAAAAAACAGTGCTCTCTCTCAGGTGATATCGCTTCCGCGGCGGTGGGCGTGACTCTACGCCCAACAATTGGTATCAGAGCTGTTATTCAGATTGGGAGTGGTGTAGCTTCTGGTTTGAGGTGGTGCTCG